TATTGGTATCATGAACAACATCCCATCTCTCAGTTTCTTTTGATTTGTGATTGTTCTATTGCTCGTGAGAGCTAGCAGATGGTACCAGCACAAGAATGGTACAGGGGCAGTTACCGTGACAATGTGACGCCAAGAGGGAAAGGTGGCTGCGCTAATAGAAACACATGTCTACTTTAGAACAAACAGTTTACAAATGATGGATAATGATGTATACATAATTTGCGAAATTTCTGTGAAATATTAACACACTTAATCCACCAAAGACGTAGCCTTACATTATTTATATAGGCCTACTTGTTTTTAAGCTAGTCTGTACTTAAAATGGACATGGGACCCAGTTATAGCCAGTTTTGTGGTAAAACGTTTGTCTGTGCTACCCAAATCCATTCTGCCCCTATACTACAGTACCGTAACTATACGAAAACTCATAGCCCTATAAAGTGGTTGGAATAAGGATGAATGTATATAATAATCTGCACTGACATGCAGAACGAATCTCTTATTTAGTCTTCTGTGATGTTCAATATTTAGGTTAAACCCCCCCTCGACATTCTGAACATTCGCTTTGGCACTTAAGCCCAAGTCTATGGAAATTTGTCAATATGTTTGTAGAAGTGGTTGAGACTATATAGAGTGAAAAAAAACGAACTACTAAGACCATGTCCTTGTAATTTTACTTTCCCATTTCTACTTTAATATTTCATTAACCTGTGGTGTTACGGTTTACCACATTGGAAAAACCACCGCAACCTATTTCTGTGTTTGACATATTGTGGAAAAATTTGGTCCCAGGAATCAATTAAAGCCATATAAATTCAACCTTAAAATAATAAGTGACTTCCACACGTAATCTACAATGATGACCAATTTAGAGGGTAAATAGATTGTCTCATATGGGGTGAGGAGGTGTCTGTGTTGGAGGGCTCAGCTCCCACGGAGGGCTGACAATGTGTCAGCTTTAAAGAGACAAAGGATGGTAAGGTTTGGGTTGCTGAGCACGTTTGAGAATCTTGGCTCCCCAGACAAGTGATTCAATTTATTGGAGGTGGCGAGAAAACCCAAATGAAAAAATATATACTGCTTTGCTGGATTCTGGAGTGAAATTAAGCGACAATATCTGAGTTTTAAACGAATACACACAAAAAATGTCCCTTGTAAATAAGCGCCGTCATAGTGGTGTGAGAAAGACACAGATGCAGACCAAAGCCAACTGAAAAGCTTGCGAGAATGTGATCAGATAGCGTCGCAGCAGAAATCTGAATTAAGTTGTGCTTTATGTTACGTTTCCTACATTGTGACAAGAACAACAATTCGTGAATTAAGTCTTACAGTACTATTACACAAGGCTTGATGAACGCTTGCACGTAAATACTGAATTACTCTTCGACGTGAAATATGATGACGTAATCGTATCTTATATTTTTAATTTGCATTGAGATATTATATATATAAAAATGCAATTGTGATCCTTAGTAGATTAATGATATATGAATTTTGTCTTTTTTATGTGCGATAATAATAAAAATATTTTGTTGGGTAAAACTTACAAATCGTTTGTTATCAGGGGTTTTGAATATTTATTTAAACGATTAGGATCGATATGTTTTGTTCATATTTCTGTGATTAAAATGTATGAGTATGTGAGTAACCTAAGCAGTCACTGCGGTAAGAAGATTTACTATGTCACAATTTAACACTGGGAGTAAAAGTGGCCTTTAACTAGCATTCGTATTCATGTCAATCTTATTCATCATTTTTTGGGAGAAAAAAATTAAAATGTTAACGATGACGTTCTGCGTTGCGATCTTCTGTTGCTTTGCAGCATTAAATAAACGAAGTATAATTACTTAGTTACTTTAAACAATCCACCATCCCATTGCGAAATCCCGGGATAATCGCATTCCAAAGTGCAGATAATCGCATTGGGCACATTAACTTATTAACTTTAATAAAGTACGATGCTGAGTGGGTCAGATGCACCAGACAAAACACGCTGTCAATTAGACTAACCGAAGAATTCTTCAAACACTTTTCAGGAGTAACTCACAGGAAACTAAACTGCTGTTACATTAACATGAGATAATTTAATAATAGCAATGCCATAAACGTACGTCTCCAACAGGTAAAATTACACAGTTAATATATGAAAGTAATATTTTTAGTCAGGAGTTCAACACGTACAAGCCAAAAGAGGATGGTAAAGTAATTTATATACCATCTATACCTTCAGTTCAGTAAACTGGCCCATTAACTGTGTTCTATATACTTATCGTTCTAAAATACTCCAAATTGCTAAAAAAAAGAGACTGTACATTATGTAAACACCGTCCATCAATACCACCCATCATTCTGCTAAATTATATTTTTGATTTTCCTGCATGGATGCAACGCTCTAGGCGTCCCACATGGCGCGCGCGCACTATAATGAGTATCCCCTAGTATCACATTACTCTCTGACTCTCTGATTTCCATCACACTCACACAAGCTTATGTTCATGCTTATTTTATGCGTTTCTTTGCCCAGCTTTTCTTTACTAAATCTTCCAGTATTGCATCAAATGCAACTTACACGTGTATAGGTGTTGTTCGTGAAAATTGCACTGCACTGCAATTTTCACCCCCTTCGACCTAATTACTATGTTATAAAACACATATAAATCCAGTATGGAAATAGGCAACGTGGAAAAATATTATTTTTTGTCTGTTGATGTCTAAATAAAGTAACAAGTTATATATACCCTAAATACATAAGAACTCTACATATAAGTTGTTTCTGAATATATAAACAAACGTGAATGACTGCTTTGAATTAATTTCTGGCTCCACAACGTTAAAGTGTTCCTACATTTCTGACTTTGATTGAGAATTGTATACTTAATTTGCAACTTACGCTCAAAGCAGATCAATCGAATAGAAACTAATTAATAATATTTTAATATAATTTCTGGAAACTTTTGCTTGTCTTACCAGTTATTTAAGTGCCAAAATAATATGCCTTCGATTACTTTTATACAGTTGCAATGGGAATAGTAAGTGACCGACACATAATCTATAAGCAACGGGGCTAATTAATCGTCATGGGTACAAATCCTTAGTAGCATTTTTTTAACTTCAGTCTCGTGTTCCTGTGTTACTTGTGTTCAACAAGCGTTCATATTAAAGAAACGCTTTAAACATATGGTACACATCTGTCGTAGAGTTTGTTCAATGATAAGCAAACACAGACCTACTTAGAAAAGCTAGTAGGCCTACTTGATATAGTATTCCAAGTGTTTGCTTAATTTCACCATATGTTTATATACCACTCACGAACACTACAAAATATATGATTTAACACTTTTAGTAGTTTAAATCAAATTGTTGTAGGCAAACTATAATACTTCTCACAAAGCAAACAATTACTCAAAATACCATCTGTGCTTTTAGACTAGGCTGTCTCGTCTAATAGCACAAGATTGTGGCCAGGCGTTATTGTTTACAAAGCGTAAAAAATGTCGCACGAGATCCGTACCAAAACTTCCTAATATTCAATCAAGGTACCAGACGGGGTTTCTTGAAAACGTATGTTATGGAGTATAACAGGAGCCTCGGCTATGAGAGACACTCCGGTTGGGGGGAGGGGGGGGGCTGGTTGGGTGATAATGAACTTGAGACATCTCATCACAATTCGAAAAGTCTCCTGTCCACTTCGGTGCGTACGGGTTCCCATGCATTTTGTGGAGAAAAACGAAGCCATTGTGCATTATCCATACCCCATTAGCTGCTCCTGCACTGGCTTCCAAAGAGGCTCATGCGGTCCGCCCATGGTAACCAGGCTTCGCTGAGCGTTTTCTTAGTTGGAAAAAAAGCTTACTCGGTTAGGAGCGACAACGAAACAGTAACTGTATTTATAGTTAGGTTTCTAGGAAGACGTCCAAAACTGGAGTGGAAATAATAGGAGACTCAGGCCACATTTAGTGAGAAACCAACAACAACAGAAGCTGACAAAGTTGTCTATTTGGCAGTCGCGCCTCCCATTGAACAAGTAATTTATTCAAAGGAGATTTTATCCCCAAGATCTGATTATTATGATAATCAACCGGCCTAGACCCTTTCTATTCGCATGTCTGTAGGTCTGAACTTGGTGCTGACAGTTAAAGCTGATTTGCACGGTGTCACCCTAGTGACCCAGTGGTCGCATTCCTAGACTGCAGGATTTCCAAAAGGGAACAAAAATAATGGAAAATGCGGACACTTGATTTCGGCGGTCGACTGCAGTCATGGGAGCCTCGATGTCAAACTGGACGTTATTTCGCGCGATGATGGATTTAAAGTGACATTACACTTTATGTAACCATTAAACAACTGAATTTCTTACGTAATTTATGGTTATTTGCATGCTTCGATCAAACAGAATTAAATTTGTATTAGTTTATACGTACACGCTAACGGGGTGTTCAGACTTAAGATGATTAGATAAACAGAAACCAAGACTTTTTAAATAAGAAAATTGCCATGTCTTTGATTTAATCTCGATCGAATAACTAATAGAAATCAGAGAAGTTAAACGAATTCTGGTATCACTTTGATAGCCACGCTACATGACAAAGGCATGTTCTCAGATCGAATGACTGACATACTAAAAGCAGCATAGAGGGAAGGAAGAAAATAGAATGTGCATGAAATATCTTCGCGTGATCTCGTCATTCTTAGTTTATTTCGGAGGGTGGGGACAAAAGTGTAACTGCATCGTGTCATAAAGGGGAGGGTCTTGGCGACGGTATATGTTTTTGGCTTGCGTGTTTAAGTCCATACCTAGTTTGATATAGGGAACGGTGTGCGCTGTAGCAGGGCGGGGGAAGGCGAATAGCTCACTTCGCTTTCTCTCAAGGGGAGGAGAACGCCATCTCTATGGGAAATAATCATGGCAATAAATAAAAAATGGGGGAATCCGACCGAGAATATCTGAATGGATGGGGCCAGCGCGACGTCACCGTGAGCCGCAGCCATGAAGCGCAAGACCATGAGAGAAGCGAGCGACGAAAGCTCAGTTCTTCTACACCGCTGGACGATTCGTTCATTTGACTGTTGTGGAAAGAATACGGCAAATACCCCCGGCTATCAAAATAAGGTAAGGGTAGGGTATTTTTAATGATATGTACGTATATACACCTGTAACGGACACAAAGGCATCGATCTGTGTTGTCTGTGGCAAAAGCAGAATATATGCTGAACCGTATTGTTTTCGATATACTAGACTATATATTCTGTACTATTATAAAGCACAAGCTACAGGCGCCTCTATAGCAACGTGATTTGTCAGCCTAGAAAAACATTAGAAAATATTTTTTTAAAAACACCATATGATATGTGCCAAATGATTCTATGCTTTCTTCATTATCTCTGTCATTCTTACACATCGTCTGACCGATGCGCACGACCCCGCTTTAATGAGAGCCAAAGCCACAACGCATGTTTATAACAATGAAGCATTGCGAGAAAAATGGGAAGTGCTGAAAGGTATACAGTGTTTCGTGTGTGGCGAAAGATGAACGCGCAGATTTTTATTAATCTGATTAAGGTTTCCATTCAAGTTGAACAGGAGAATGACTGTTAGAGAAGGTCAGATTATGCGTTGTCAGTTTAGGTACGGTTAGGTTTTTTTGTGAGTTATTTATCCAGCAACATAACTTCATTTTTGATAATTAAATAAAAGACTGGCCTGGGTATGAACTATATCACGGATTACTAAGCGCCACCCATATCGCCCTAAGGAATTATAGTGCCCTTTACCCAAAGCTAGACAACGACAACTAAAAGAACATACATTTAAGACCACTATGGTCCACCATATAAGCACGAACAGCTATTTATACAATATTCTTAGAATTTTAGTCGTTCATACATTTTTGTCTTATACTTCAAACGAATCACCATCATCATTATTACACTTATTGGATCACTCAGTGTGTGTTGCTCACTGCAGACATATTCAGATTATAAGAATATACTGCGTTTTACTCAAAATTCCGTCTCTCACTTGCATATTAGCTTCAACCCAGTTAAGCTTCATGTGTTGTGTTATCGCTACGATTGAAAAGCGACACTTTCAATATACGTTCAGTGTGAAACGGTGGGCCGACAATTAATCCACAGTCATCCCGAAATCTGAATAACTAGCGTGATGCTTCAGTTAACATAAGGCCAAAACACACCCTTTACGCGCAAGTCGAATTTAGAGTCCATCTGCCAGGCGGAGACACGTGTAACACATTTCCACCTGACACGTGAAGCACAGTAATGTGCTATTTACCCCCAATATAACTAAATAGGGAAGAGAATTATTTCGATATGTTTCACATATTTTCCTTTCAATTCAATCCAATAGTCAACATTCATAAACCTAAATAAAATGAGAGCGCGGTTATAAAACTGAAAGCATGAAGTATGACGGTGCTTTTGACGCAGAAGGAAAGAGAGAGATGAACGTACAAGTGTGCATTCTCGGGCATGTACAATGTATTTAAACGTAAGCATCTTTTAACAATACATAAAATAAATATAATTTTATGTTGTGCTTTCCCGTATTGTAGGGTTTATATTTGGTTGAAATCAACCAGTTGTAGATTTTTGAGATAGTGTGGCCAACTAGCCTACGTTTTAGCAAGGGTGTCGCCTGTGTACAATGTAACGTTATTTTTCCAATACTGGAGTAAAATTAATAAAATAAATTACGCTATTTTAATATCCTAATAGGAATGAGCACGTTCACCATGCCAGAAGACCAGCATCTTAAACCAAAAACAGGAATGTAAGCTTTGGTCTCACAATAAAAAAGAGAGATGCTATTACATATGATGATGTATTTTAAGATTATATTTTGATCTTGTCATTTGGTTTGCAGAGGAATGCGTTTCTGTAACTTGTGTAATTGAGGCGATAAAGCATTAAGAATATTTAACTCATTGCTTGTCTATCTAGAACTTGCGCCGTTTAAGGTGTACGTGCCGCATTGAGTCTGAATGTAACATTTCTGTAGGAATACCTTGTAATTCTTCGCTTTGTCATACTGTTCAGAATTATGAAATACACTGTTGGAACCCCATGATGGTTGTTCAATAGTCATGAGAACTATTTTATTAATACGACTTATTTTAATGTAACAAATACAAATGAAACAAAATGGTTCTCTATTCTGGATGTGGTTAATTGATTCTGATGTAATTTCAATTTAAAACTCACGTTTGCTCTTAATCTTTATGCAAATAATGAACCATATGTGAATGTGAATGTGTGTGCATTTCTGTATATAGATGCCCTCACACATTTGCTGTCACGTATAAAGGAGTTTAGAAGTTCCATATGTTACGTGTTATATTCTCGCATACAGTAGGTGTGTGTGTGTGTGTGAGTGTATTCCATTATATTTCAAAACCCATTAAAACCCATTAGTATTTCAATGTATACCATTTAACCAGCATTTCTTAATCAAAACGATCCATTCTGAGTACCTCGAAACAACATGCTACCCATACTGTCTTGAACTCAAATTTGTCTTCTGATCCGTGATATTGTTATAACAGAACATATGTGCATTGGCATGATTCGCGTGATTGAAGCTAAAGAAGTCTTTAAGCATGAAATCTTACGCTATTCCTGAGTGGCTCAGTGCGTTCCTTTGATTGGAATTGAAACAAGTATTTGTAATATAAGTATTTGTTGTCGTGTGCGTTTTTCATTAATTGCAGCATGTATTTCACTCCGTCCTTCAACATATAATCCCTGTTTTACTGGAATCCTCAGAAATTGTAATTTTTTCCTGCTAAAGCCAGTTTACTTAAACAGGAAATTTGCAGGGGAAAGCAATGTTACTAAATATCAGTCAACGTAGACATATATTGAAAATATTTTACCGCAAGCAACATACTGTTTCTGTTCACGTAACTGAAGTAAAGTAATATACACTTCGTATTCTGTTTTTTTTTACAGGACCCACTTGAGAAAATATTTGAAGGAAGTCACGTGATATAGGTAATGTTGTAATGAGAAAGACAAAAACGTATTAGGTAGCGTATGTGTGTCGTGGGAGTGTGTGTATGTGTAGTCATACACAACACATGCGTACCCAAAGAATACAGCTTCAGTCAGGCTTAAAGCACTAGAGCGACTGTATGGTGACGTATGTATTTAATGGACCTGTTACAAAATATCACATATGCTTAGTTTTTATTTATACATTCCAAGGGTGTGAATGGAACAAATACGGAGTAATCGTGTGTAATACTATTATGGTCCGATACAAAACATTGTGCATCATTCGAGTTCGCTTGTAGAACCGTCAAAGGTTTTGAATCTAACAAGAGCCATTGAGACTCTACCAACACAGAGCCGATAAAGTTATTACAAATTATATTATTGCTATAAATAATAATAATAATAATCACCCTGAAATTAGTGATTCATTACAATGGTGGGTAGCTGGATTGTAAGGGAAGTCGTGTTAAAGTGTAATATAATATATTTTTATTAGTAATTAAATCCATACGTCCATTTTCCATACCCGTTTGTCCTGTGCTTAGAGCTATAGGACATAGAGTCTTAATCGTAGTATGATTTCGATTAATTTAACGTAAACATGTTCACTTTTTATTCGTTCCAATAGAATAATACAGAAATGTTCACAGCATCACTTGAATTGAGTGCATTTTTCCGTTTTTTTACTTTTCTTTACAAATAACATACAAATCAAAATTTATTTTTAAAAAAGTATTCAGGCTTTCTCGAGAAATACGTCAGAAATCTGGCAGAATCTGGCAGTGATTCCATTGACGAATTAAATTTTCCAACACCTAGAACCACACAACAACTGAATTAAATGGACTGAATGGATACAGTATCCACCTTTTTGAATACGATTTTCGGACTGATGCCGATACAGTGTGCCACCGTCGTTCGTGCCAATCTGTAGCCAGCCAGCACCACCAAAGAAACGCGCATTATCATATTCTAATCCAACTGTAACTTCCCACAGGTTAAACCGTGCAGTGAAATACAGAATTAGAGATAAATTAATACCACTGAATGATTGTAACGTTTTGCATTATTACGTACATTTTTGGAATCGAATTCCTAGGCTTTTAGGCCATACATTAATTAGGGGACTGTTTTTAATTCTATGTTGGAATTTGAGATCCACCCAAAACTAGACACAGAAGTGAACAAACCGCGCAAGCGATGTGGAAGGCTTCAGAACATTCTATCCATAGACGTTCCCTTTAATAAAGCTAATTAATGCGTGTCAGACGTATTCGTCATTCCGCTGTGTCTACCAATGGTAGGAGAGGTGTAATTAGTTTTTAGCGAATAAATGAAAGATGCACCTGTAGTGTATGGGGGGGGGGGGGGGGGGGGGGGGGGGGGGGGGG